GTCACCTGGACCCCACCCTGCACCCCTCTATACTGCTCATCTTGTCATCAAGAAAACGCCCCAGTACAACCAGTGGGTGAGGCGTACAGAAAGCCAGGGGCAGTGGGTAATGTAGCCCAGAGAAATGTACTTTGCTCCTCTGAGCAGTTTCCGGCTCTAGTGTGGCTGGAGCTCATCCAGAATCGATCCACCACAATGACCTGCTCGCACCAAGCCAAGGTCTCAGATGGCAGCAACACTTGGCAGAACCTTCTGGCTCTCAGGTGGCGCTGCAGTACAAACTGGTCTGATTCTGTTCTGGACGTCACTGCGTGGGCTCCTGGGCTCAGGATCACGTTCCCAAATCATTGGCTGTAAATACCGTCCATAAGCCCAAACTCAGTTCCAAACGTTTGGAAAAAACGATGATAGTGTGACGTGTTTGAGAGATTTTAGCTGCTCCTTCATTGTTTTTATTTATTAATCTCACTTTAATGTTCTTGTTTACATACGCTGAGCTTTAGGAATCCTCCTTGGTTTGTTGCATGATCTCAAAGATTTCAGTTTGACTAATCTCTCTTCTGTTCTTTACGCATTTGATGGAACATTCTGGTGAAGATTATATATAATAGTACGTAAACATACATGTATTTGGCTGTAGTTGTACCAACATTAAAATTTCTATAATTATTTACAATAATTTCTTCCACAGTCACTTAATAAAGTGACCTAATAGTTGAAGCACCATGTTCTACATGTGGAGCTGTGTTCAATCGGATGTCTATTTATAGATCATCCAGGAACATCTAGCACAAGTCACTTTTTTCCTGCAGGCTTTACAGCGAGTCAAGCTCATACAAACTCACATTTTGTAGGACGCTCCAGTTTTCGCCGGCCTCTTTTCTTGCGTGGCATCATCAGATCGTCGTCCTTGTCTTTCTCAGAGTCCTGCTCCTCTCTGCTGGACAGAAAGCCATTCTCCTTGGAAGGACTCGGGCTCGGACCCTGGGAGCTGTCCTGGGGGATCCTGTTCTCCAATTCCCTCTTCTCCTGTTTGGGGAAGCAGGCATCGAGCACCACATCTCCATTGTGAACTTGGGTCATGAAGGGCCTACACACCCCGGAGTAACTGTTGCTGACGCTCAGACAGTCTGTGAGGGAGCTCTCCACCTGCAGAAAGAGGAAGAAATGTTAATATCCTGTCAACCACCAAGACTCATCAAAAAAAGTTCAGTCAGGTCCTCTGGATGGATTCTTCTTGTTGAAACGTTTCATCTTTTATCCAAAGGACTTCTTCAGTCTGAGGAGCTGCAAATCACCTTCTCACAGTGGACCAACCAGTTTCCTGGTGACATCCAGAACTAGCTGTTCACATGATAAAGGAGGCTGAAGATGTTCACATCCTTGATAGAGAGGAATGTTGGTTTGAGAGAGGAGTGAAGGAGGCCATCTTTGTGAAGAGAACCTGTCCATCATTAATCAGGGGCGGAGCCTCCGTGTCCGACTGTCCCCCTCTGTTATTGCTAGTATCACTCAGCCCCCTGTGAACAGCAAGTGGCCATCAGGGCACTAACGATCGGTTGTTAAGGCCGATGGTCCTTGATCACGTGAGCAGCTGGTTCTGGATGTCAACAACAAACTGGTTGGTCCATTATGACAAGGTGCTATTTATAAAACTGAGTTTGTTGCAGCTCCTCAGACTGAAGAAGATTTCTGGATAAAAGATGAAACGTTTCAACAAGAAGAATCCGTCCAGAGGACCCGACTTAACTTTTTTTAAATGTTTTTCTACCTGGATTATTGAGCAGCATCAGGACACCAAGACGGATGTTACGTGACATTAAACCTCTTTTCTCGTGAGATTTTCTCAGTGTCGTCCCTGCTCAGCCTCATGAAGGAGACAGGTCTGAGAATCTGAGTGGAGTAGTGCTCTTTCTGTTGTGGCAAGTTGTCGACTTTTTATTTTATTTTATTTACGGTAAAGAATGCGGCCAAAGTATTGACATGAGCATCAACATGCCGATTGAGACCCCAGCTATCGATGATAAATAATGTAACGTAATACTGTGGTAGTAAAGACACTGTAAAGCATTTAGAAAAGCTGGGCACACCGGAGCAAAAAGAGTCTGGAGCCACGAAGAGCATCTTCACTGGATCTTTAGCTTTCATCTGCTCACCTGCTGCTAAACTCTGAGCATGTTGGGAAGTGAGTTTTCCAAACAGTCCTGCTCGAGTGCAAACTTCAAAGCTGAGCCAGGAAATCTGGTGTTGAGGAGGATTTAGGATACAGCTCGTGGTTACAGGAGTGCATTTCCTGTAGGCAACGATCGTTACAGCAGCACCCAAGTATGTCAGGAATGTTGGCTGAGGGTTGTCTCTGTCCACTTTGAAACATAAAGTACATTCAGAGGGAACTCACGTGAAGTCTCAGTGAAGGACTTTCTATTTTTATTCCTATAATGTATTGGAAGACCAACATAAAGATTTGTTTAACCCCTAAACAAACAAACACATAAAACTGTCTCTTCCACTGCCAGAAACTAACCACAGAGTTACTATTTCACAGGGAGGGGTGCATCGTCCACTGTTGAGAGCAGGGCTTTTTATCCAAATTATATTTGATGTAGCTGTTTGGATTTATTGTAGAAGAAGATAATGAGGAGTCAGGAGGTTTATCATCTGGTGAATTTAAGCTGATTCTCCAAAAAAGTCCTTTGGTTTTTTTTTTTGCTTTGTTTTGTTTTTGTTTTTTTTGAATGTCCAGAGAACCAGATTGGACTTTTTTGGATTTTTCTCCCTGGATTATTGAGCATGCATCAGGATGTTAAGCTGATTCTGTTGGATACACACATCCTCCATCCATCTTACTCAAAGAAGCCACACTCGAGGACGCAAGAAGATTTTTAGCTGGTTTTACTTTTGCAAGAGCAGACTTTCACCACAGGTCGCACAGAAGTTGTTCAGAAGTTCTACATGCGGAGCCCAGTCTGGAGATTCTGCACCGGGCAGCGTGCGAGGCTTGTTTTATAACCTTATCAGCTCTCGGATCACAGGCAGACACTGATGACCTCGGCCATCCAGCTGCACATGCAGGATCAAATCAGCTCCTCATTCAGCCCTCTCTGCTAACTCAAACACATGGTTCATGGGCAGTTAACATTACCTTCCATAAACCTGGACCAAAACTGCCCTGACAGATTCTGAGCAACAAAACAAAGTGTCAAATTGGATTTTTGCAGATTAAGCTATAAAATCTTAATGTGCACTGTAATAAAAAAACACAATTGTCACAGCCTGCGTTTCTTTTCGGTTGTCTTAGTTTGTTTCTCGAGTGGTTTATAAGTTATGTCTCCGTCCGTTGTGTTTCAGTTCAGCTCCCTGTGTTCACTCTCACCCTCACCTGTTTCTAATTAGCGATCATCTCAGGCGCTGTCGCTTTCCACTCTCCCTCAGTTCGATTTAAACCACTTCCGATCACGTTTCCAGCAGGGGCTCGTTATTTTGGGTTCATGCCAAACATCTCGGTGCTCCTCGTTGTTTTCTTTCGTGTTATTGTAATCAGCCTTTAGTTTGAGTTTTATTAACAATCCTTTATCTTTACACAAACCCCTCACGTCTGCCTGCATCCGGGTGCAGCGCAGCACCGACCTCGTTAACAACGAGCCGAAGCCGGCCTGAAGACTTTCTCCACAGGTAGCAAAAACACAAACACTTTCATTACTGTGAACAAACGAGCTGTGAAGTGAACTCCAATAAAAAGCCAAAGTGCTGGAGGAGCCGAATGAAACAAACCGCAGCTCTAACGTTCATCTTTTTCACTTGGTGCGCACAACGTGCAGAGTGTGTGTTGGGGAAAATGCAAAACAGACGCACAAACACATGCCCGTGCTCCCGTGCACATAACTGTCACCAAGAGCATCAGATCACTGACCCGGTGAACCACATGCAACACATGCCAGAGGTCAGAGGTCATCGTCAGTGAATCAGACAGAGGCAAAGAGCTAAAGGCTAACAAGCTAATCCAACTGAGAACTGCTGAATTCTACTTAAACACCAGCTTCTTTTATTCCTGCACATGCTGATAAATACTTTTTCTTCTTCTTCTTTCGGCTGCTCCTTCTTCAGGGGTCGCCACAGCGAACTAACTTGCACCAAGATCACAGGACCACCTTCCCTGACCTCTGCACCACCACTCCCACATAAAATAAACACAACGCTGCTACTTAGCAGATTTTCACCTTCCGCAGGCGTTACGTTCCTGACACCCCCACAATAGGTGAGGGGGTCACTGTAGACCTTAATGTTTTACTCTAGTGGGTAGGAGTTAATCTGTGGAGAAGAACGAAGGTAGATCTTTTGGAGCTTGTCTGAGGAAGTGCAAGGTGATTGTTCCTGAGAGCATTTAATCCACCACCAGGTGCGACGACAAAGCAGCCAATGGTGGCCATTACCATAAATTTATCTGTGGCCGCCCCAGTCGTTTCAGGAAAATATGGTTTTATGCAATATAAATACTAGAAAACAGTTTTCTCAAATGATGGGGTGGCCAGTTTACACACACAAACACACACACACACACACACACACATAATGATGGCCACCTTGGATTTTGACTTGGCAACCCAGTCTTAGACGCTGACCTTTCTAGCACCTACAGACGCAGCCACACACCTAATGGAAGTCGGCACGTTGTTTCTTTTTGCAGTTATCCAGATCACATGTTTACATATGTACATATATGGTGGCGGTCATCTTGGATTTTGACGTAGCAACACAGTTTTCAATGGTGACTTTTCTCACACTTCCAATGAGTCGCACACCAAAAAAACAAGTCAGTGCCACACTTAACGTTATCCTGCTCACAACATGCATGGACAGATGGACGGAGGTCATTTCCAGTTCCCCCTTTTCGCTCTGCAGTAAATAAATTAATAGTGTAGTGATAAAAAGCTGAGCTGTAAATGTTTCTGCACGTGAGGTAAACACTTACTGGAAATGGCTTGCGCTTCCTCCCAGGCTTCCCGGCTTTACAAGAGGCACTGCTTAAAGTGGACTTCTCCTCCATCAGGTCCAGGTCCAGTATTGTGCTCTCACCCTATGAAGACAAAGAGCACACCAATGTTTCGGTCACAGGGTCCTGAAATGCACTTATAAGAATTAGTTTTTTGTTGTTTGTAGTTTTATTGTGTTAGACACGAGCCTTAAAGCGAAGAGTGCAGAGAAACAGATAAAAGTCTTCCTTCAGGCTAGGCTAAGCTAAGGGCTAGCCAAACTGGAGCGAGGTCTTTATCGTTTTTTAAGCCTATAAAATAAAATAATCGATTTTCAAAGGAACAAAAATATGAAAGAATATTACATAAACAATTAAAACTTCTGCACTTTGGTATGATTTTGTATGATTAGCTGTTGCTGTTTTTTAGCTGAACAACATTTGTGTTACTACACAAATGGATGTGTGGGCAGCAGCATAGGCCTTTCTGTGTCGTCAGTGCTGCGAGGCTATTGACTGTCCGATCAGCTCGTCTAGTCGCTCCTAAATGTCCTCAACTCCTGGTGGACTGATGTGTTCAGACACCTCAGCATCATCGACATAGAGCTGTCAACGGTAACACGCTCAAAGCCACAACCAGGAGCCACTGTTGTGAAGAGCTGCCAGTCTTAAAGTTCACACATCAGAATGACATTTAATTATTTGTTTATTCATTTGTTTGTTTATTCGTTTGTTGCATATAAATAAAGGTGCAATTAACAATTAATTTGGATTAATGGAAGTGGCCTTTATTTCCTTGTTTGTTTTATACAAATAACAGCTCAAATACCATTTTTATGTCAACTAGTTCCAAATTCATACATAATTATTTACATCAAAGATCTGAAGCATTCTGTCTTTTTAAAACATACTCAGAGGTGTACAAGGGATGAATTATAATACATTTACACAAAGTTGTTGGATAGAAGTAACAAAGTTATGTTTATGGAATGTTGTTCTGTGCAAGCCGTTGACATATACTATAACTAGAGACGGGACCAGCAGCAGGAAGTTGAAGCCGACTTGGATTAGTGCCCTCTAGTGGCTTACAGTTCATAAGGCCTGCCTCTCTATATAAAATAATGGGGCATTTTCTTAAAAATAAATAAATAAATAAATACACTGCAGGTAATTTTTTTCAGATGTTATGCAATCGCTCGATCGATCAAACTTCTTGTTTGGCTTAATGTGATTCCATTTTTTCTAATGTGATTCCATTTTTTCTAATGTGATTCCATTTTTCCTAATGTGATTCCATTTTTCCTAATGTGATTCTATTTTTTCTAACGTGATTCCATTTTTTCTAATGTGATTCCATTTTTTCTAATGTGATTCCATTTTTCCTAATGTGATTCTATTTTTTCTAACGTGATTCCATTTTTTCAAATGTGATTCTATTTTTTTCTAATCCAATTCCATTTTTTTCAAATGCGATTCTGCTTTTTTCAATGTGATTCCGACCACTTCAGCTTTGGCTTAATCTAATTCCGTTTTTTCAAATGTTCATTTACACCTTAGGGCCACCGTAGATACTATTACTACTGTTGATAACTATTTGACCAACATCACTTTAAAAATGACCAGACTATTCTTTTAAGGAGGACTGCAGCTCCCTTCAGTCTCTGGTGGACAATGAGACAAACAGAAAGTGAAGGACGTGTCCCTTTGAGCCAGGCTGAGGTGAACGCAGCGCTGACCTTCGAGACAATCCCCTCTTGACACCATTACAAACATGCTGACCTGCCCCCACCTTCCCTTTGATTAATAAAACTGCCCCCCGCCTGAACAAAGCCCATGTCCGCCAAGTCTCAGTGAGGCTGATGAGGAGAGATGATCCTAATGTAGATGCCTCGAGTTCAATATTGACTGAATAAGACGGCCAGCACCACGTCTGAATGCAAATGAGCCTGCGAGGCCACTCTTGACAGCTGCTGTGAGGGGGGGGGGGGGGGGGTTAATAAATTCCTTCAGTATTAAACATGAGACAGAGGCTTTCAGCACCATGAAGATTCTGCAGTGCAATACCTCCACTAATGTGCTCTTAAGTATATTTATTTACAGCTTAGGCACAGGGAGTCACACAGGAGGAGATGAGAGCGTGAAGAGGTGCGACCTGTCGCTGCAGGTAAGAAGGTCTAACAGTCCACAGAATTATTTGGTGCAGGACGCGCTTCAGATCTTTTGAAAAGGGTAAAGTCCAACACCCACCATTGTTTCATACTACACATGGCAGAGAGGGGAGATGGTGGGCCTGTGACCAGAAGGTCGGCGGTTCGACTCCCTGGACTGACAACATCAAAATGTGTGTGGGAAAGGTGAAACACCCTCACCTGCCTCACCCTCACCTGCCTCCACCCTCGTTCTCCCTCCCTGACCCACCACCTGCTCCCCGGGCACCCTGGATGGCAGCGCTCTGCTACACACAGACGGGTGCATTAGTTGACTAGTCAACCTCTGAGGTCTTACTAGTCAACTAGCAGGCAGTTTAGGTGTTTTAGTCTCATTTTAAAACGTTGCCATTATCTGTAGGTCAGCTGTTTTTGTCTGTCTGTTAGCAAAATACTTCATGAACCAGATAACTGGTTTTAATAAAACTATAAGAATGTAATCAATGGATGTGCATCTACAACTAAACTTCCACCCCAACTCAAGATGGCTGCCACAGCTGGTCAACAGTCAAGTGGCTCTGACCCAGTCAGCTGACAGACGCTGAGCCCAGTTTTTTCATGGTAGTAGCTGAGAGTCATTCACAACACAAAGTCCTCGTGCTACACGCGACACAAGGTCTAGCAATTTCTCAAGATAACACATGTCACATGATTTGACCAAAATGACAAACTCTGTTCCTTCTAAACATCAAAAGATGGTGGTGGTGGTGGTGGTGGGGGGGGGGGGGGGGGGTAATGTGAATTCTTTTAAGGAATGGTCTTGAGTTCTGAGTGGACTGATGCACAAGTTCAACTGGCTTGATGCCATCTTCAAACAAGTTCCCTCTAAGAACTCCAACAGTGATTGAAGCAAACACCATTTCATGACCCTCTGTTAGACACGTGCACAGCGAGGCAGCAAGGGTGACAGATTCCACACGGGGTGGGATACATCAAGAATCTGCTTCTTGATGCCCTTTATGACTTATGATAATAACTCACATATCTGCTACGATGTTTACAGAAGTCTACAATATATTATAGATAACAAGATATTAGGGAGTGTTTTGTGAATTTGAGTGGAAAAGCGAAACCATTTGTTGTTTCTTTTCATGTTGCTGAACTTGTGGATGTGTCCACACCTAAACTGGACCATCTTAATTGGGTTAAAGGTCAATTACAGTTTCACACATAGACAGTAACTTCATGTCCAGTCGTGTTATATCTGAGGAGGACAGGCTGCAAAACTGAATAAATCAATCAACCATTACCGTCCTGAAGGAGTAACCGGATTACCATAAAGACACGAATGACATTCAAATAACAGAGAGTGAAGGAACAGGCGGAGAATCAGGACGAGCGACTGGAGAAATGACCTTTTTATACAGAAAATACCGTGTGAATGCTGAGAGCTGAAGGCTGCTGAAGTTTACTGAACAAGCTGAAGCTACATCATTAAAGCTTTCAGAAGCAGAACACTAGCTAAAGGAGTGGAACACTAGCTAAAGAAGTAGAACACTAGATAAAGTAGAACACTAGCTGAAAGAAGCTAAAAGAAGTAGAACGGTGGGTTAAAGCTTAAAGGATCAAAACACTAAATTAAAAGCTAAAACAGCTAAATGTAGCCTGAATGCAAAAAGCATGAAAATGCAGTAGCTAAATATAGCAAAGGGCTAGCTAAAAGATACCCACCCCCCCAAAAAAAAAAAATATATATATATATATATATTTTTTTTTTTTTTTAAATCAGAAGACTAGTTAAAATGCTAAAAGACAAGGTTAAAGCAGAAATAATTGGCTAAAAATTAAAGGTGGCAAAATGGTAGCTAAAATGTAAATGCAACAAAAGGTTAGATAAAGTAGCAAAAGAGTGGCTTACAGTTAAAAGGATCAAAAGAATAGTTAAAAGTTAAAATTAGAAAAAGTTAAAAAGGATCAAAAGTCTGTCTAAATGCCAAAAGTAGCAGAATGGTAGCTACAAACTAAACATAGAAAACAAAAGAGCCATTAAGTTAAACCAGATTTTAGAGAAAACTGTTTTTGAAGGAAATCAAGGAGTCGTACATCTCTGGACAATTTTGTACAAAAAATTTGAAAAGTAAACATTTACTAAACCATACGTTACAATCAAAAGTTACTGCACCCATCTCATTTATGGGCTGAATGATTTGAAGTATAAATGGATAAATTAGCACAAAGTACACAAAAGGTAGATGACTGCAACAGATGTAGAGAAAAATTAAAAACAGGAAACCAGTTCTGTGAATGCTGACTCAGCTCTTCCTCAATAAACGCTGGAACTTCGTGAGGAAAATGTAGTTTAAAGTGACATCCAGAGTTCCTACAGTTGTGTTAGTCGTTTGATTCATTAGACAAGGTGTCCTGCAGCGGCTCCCAGTTCGTTGTGTGGCCACTAACAGAGCGCTGCAGTGCTTCTCCATGAGGGCAGCACATCTGCAGAGATCGTAGCATGTTCTGCGTGCAGCCTGGTGCGCAGGCTCGTTTGGGAATCACTCATGAGGATACACGATTCGGTGAAGCCAGGCTATCTGCAGGAACAACCCTCCCACCCGCAGACGAGCTGAATGAAACATGTTCACCACAACACGCTGTAGAGCAACAAAAAGGCCTGAGATACAATTTGTTGTTTGCCTGGAGTGAACCTGCTACTGTCAACATCTCTGCACTGTTTCAGGCTGGGGAGCTGGGTATTTAAGGCAACGTCTGTTGCCAGGCAACTAGACCAAGGGCAGCAGCACTGTAATGGGAACACAGACGAAGAGGACCGATCCCCCACACCCCCACCCAGTTAAAGGGCTGTGGAGCCGCTCCAGCTCTTACTGAACCATCAGCCGACACCCACGTCAGCGAGCACCATTCCACCCGCAAAGGTCACGTTATCCTCTTCCACCTCTCCACGGCCTCACCAGTGATGCTGCATCAGGAATTACTCCCTCGGTCCACTCCTGTAGCCTGTGGCTTGATTAAATTATTAAACTGCCACATGCATTAATATCAAACACGTAGCATGCCTGTCATGCCAGGGGTTTACTGTGATGTTCTCTCAGAGTATTTGCTGTGAATGAATCTGAGCTGCTACACCAAAGTTTAGCTCAATATCTGTAATATCAAAGTCAAAGAATGACCCCCCCCCCCCCCCATCAAGGCAGACATTATATGTTAAGGGGAGGTTAATCAATTAAAGCTGCTGCCAAACTGTGGTTCAAACTTGTGTTTGTGCTCCATCATTTATTTGCTTATTTATTTATTTAGCTTTAATACACTCAGAAATTAAACAAAAGCATGTAGAGTTCATTAATTCTAGTTTTACATTCTTAGTTACAAACTACAAACTTTATATGAGCGAGCGGAACGCCGACGCCCTCCGTCACAGACAGGTTTGAATTTTTCATTCAACCTTTATTTAGGCAGGTAGCTCCCATTGAGCCCCGAGGACTCATTTACAACAGAGACCTGTAAATAGTGAGTGTTTGTAGTTTTCAGTGTTTTTCTGAACTAGAATCGAACAGGGAGTGAAAGTAAACCTTAGTGTTTTTTGGCAAAATGTTCAAATGGGTAGGAGTTAAAAGAGCAGAGGTAGTTTATTTATTTAGTTTTGTTTGTCCGAGGGGATGAATCCTGGTGAACGGAGGATGCTGTCCACCCCCAGGTACAACGGTGGAGCCAGGGGGTGGCCAAAGGTGGCCTTGGCCACCATAGATCGATTGTTGGCCACCCCAGTCATTTGAGGAAACTACACGTTCAAACAATATAAAAACTAGAAAGCATAGTTTCATCAAATGATGGGGGTGGTCAGTTTACAAATGGTGGCGGCCATCTTGAATCTAGACTTTAACACAAGTTTTGTGATCGTTTTACACTTTGATGCAATCACACACTATAAAGGAAGTCAGCAGGTAGCCCCCCCACCCAAGTTGTCCAATTCACAAGTTTCTAATACAAGCAGCCATCTTGGATGTTGATGTGGCAACCCAATTTTGAAAGCATTCTTTCTTACGTTTAGATGTCGTCACACACCAAAATGGTGCCAGTGTCAAAGTCAGCCCCGCACTTATTTTTCAAGTTATCATGCTCACAACATGCATGGATGGTGGGACAGATGGACGGTATTTCCAACGTCCTCTCTTCACTTACAACGTTGAACAAAAAAGTCACTGCAAGCTACGCCTCCATCTCTCTGCTGTGATTTGGTTCAGACAAGGTAAGCAGAAAACTGCTAGCTTAGCTTGCTAATCAGACTGTGTTTAGCTGTGGAGCTTTAGAAAAAAGCTCAAATCTATTTAAGTGTAAAGTTCTGTTGTACTTAACTCACGACCACCACCGTGCAACGGTTCCGATAAAATCACCTGAAGTGTACTTTGGTGTTTCTTACCATTCTGTTTCCAGGTGAATCAGCAAAGTCTGAGCCTTTGAATGCAGGAGTGTTGGTGACAGTGTTGGACGGCATCGTTCAGTCCTACGGGCTTATGGTTGAGGTCTGGTGGTGCAAGTTTCCAGTGGAAATGAACTCAAAATGGAAAAAATAAATAAAAGATGATCCTTCTTCAAGTCACTCCTGAAATATAAAAAGAGAACACCACACGGGTCAGTCGTTGCTTTGCAAAAGGAAATGGTTTTCTACACGTGAAAGATCTAAAAGATGCATTAATAAAGACTTGTGTTTTAAAATACAAATATTAACATGCATATTATCTGTTGGAATAAGTAAAAATTGTAATTACAGAATTTATCAGAAGATGTACATATCAATACTCTAACATCTAACATAACCTCTGACCCCTGGAGCCAACACTAACCCTAACTTAGTCCACATAGAAATACACAGATACACAACTGTGTACGCATAAATACAAACTGTCACTTGCTGAGTATGAATGGTGGGTACAAAGTGGTAAAAGTATGAATCATCCAGCACCTGTTGCATCACAGGTGGGGTTGGTTGGTGTCGGAGTAAGAAAAGAAGAATATGTCGATAGAGAAAAGTTGCAGTGGGTGGAAAACAGCAACAACAGAAACTGAGCCCCAACCTGCAAACTGTAACTAGAGAAACTGCATTTCCTGCAAAATGCAGTGTGAATGCTTATTGCAGAAGAACTTGATGAAAACAGCTGAAATTAGCTAAAACGTGCCGAAATGTAGCTGAAATGGAAGAATAAGCCCAAGTTAGCAGAAGGCAGAAAGAACACATATTTGCTGAATCAGGTTTAACTAAACAGAAATGAGCACAAAAATTAGGAAATTAGTTAAAAACAGCTGAAATTAACAAAAAAATACCTGAAAAGTAGCTGAAACGGCAGAAAGAAGCTTAAACTACCAGAAGGAAGTGGAGAGAGCATATTCTTGCTGAATTAGGCTGAAAAAAGTCGAAATGAGTGCAAAAAATGTCGAGAAAAAGCTGAAATTAGCACAAAAGTAGCTGAAACATCAGAAAAAGCTGAACCTTGCAAAAAAATAAGCTGAAAGGAGCATAAGCTGAAATTAGCAGAAAGAAGTTAGAAGAAGCACAAAATTGTTGTAGTTAGCAGAAATGATCTGAAAAGCGCACAAAACAGCTGAAAAAAACAGCTGAAAGTAGCTGAAACTGTTTAAATTTGCAGCAGGAAGCTGAAAGAAGCTGAAGCAGAACAAAATATGAAAGGAGCTGTAAAAGGCTGTAAACAGATGTAAAGATGTGAAGGATGTAAAAATGTGCACAATTAATTTTCTACGAGACAAAAATGGCAGAAAAGGCTAAATATTTCTAAAAGCTAAAGTTGCACCAACACCAAACATCATAGCAGGATTGTCCTGAAAGAGCTGAACGTTTTTGATTTATGATTTGTTGAAACAGCTGAAAAACTGCGGGACGAGAATCGCACCGAAAAACATACGGAAGAGAAATGGACGACAGCAGTTAGAATACTTCATAAACATTCAGAAAAGCTTAGTATCGGTTAGAGGAATGCATATCACCCGCTGCCTTCGAGGTTAGGACTACGGTCATCTGTTGAGGAATGAGGACGTTATATTTGGTCAAATGTCACTCAGAGTGATGATCAAATCTGAAAATCTGACAAAGTTCATCACTGATGTTTCTGCAGACGTTCGTCAGCGGCCATCTTGAACTGGAAGTCAATCAGTTGCAGAAGTACAAAGTACATCCAACGATTATTTTTCTAGGTTTTATTAAAATCCATACAGTGGTATATGAAATATTTAGCTAACAAACAAGGTAGACCACAGCTATGCCAAAGTCATGAGCAAAAATCTGACTTAATGAGCAACATTTGCAGAACGCGCTGTGACTCCCAGCTACTACAAAATAAACCTGACTGCACGAGTCGTCGTGTTTTTTTACGGTCAGTAGATCCTTCAGCTGAACTGTCACCATCAGGGAAAAGGTTCAGATCCAGGAAGACCAGAACCAACAGATTTAAAAATAGTTTTGACTCGTCAGCCGTTACTGAACTAAACAAAAGCTGCAATAAGAACTGAATCAGTGCAATAAGAACTGAATCAGTGCAATA